ACCTACAGCTACACCGCTACTAGCAGGTGCAGCGCCATGCAGGCTCTCCACGGTGTGAACATCCTCCTGGGGTTTACAGAGATGGTTCTGGGATTCGTCACCTCCATCCTCTGCTGTGTCGGCATGTGTTCCTCTAACGACGTCCAGCCGGGGGTACGTCACTCTTCATACCTAATATAGATGTCAATAAATGACACGTTACGTCAATGAAGGTTAGACATCCAGGTAATGAGATACACAAGGAAATACTAGTAGTTCCTCAAACAACTGGATATATACAGAGAGAGAGATTTTAAAAACTATCAGTCGTTTCGAGTAGCATCCACTACTTTTCATTATTATTGAAAAATGTGATGAAATTTAACGGTTTGTTTCCGTAGACGGTGATCTACCACCATGCAGCTCCAATGCAAGCGCCAGGGGGCGTGGTCATCATGCACAACACAACAGGTAAGAAATAAAGACACACAAAATTTCGTAATGGAAGTGATATGATATGTTAAACCTATTTACCAACATATCTCAAATGCCAGCAGCTATTATTAACTATATGCGCGTATTATGTTTTTGAAAACATGAGGTGAATTTGAGTAGTTACGCATACGCATACGCGTTTGTAACTTGCACCTCATACATTTTATGCTATGTACTTATATAGTTTATGCTCATAAGTTACATATGTCTCCCCAGGCGGCTACCCCATGCATACAGCAGGCGTGACCTACGTTGGCGGCGGTCCACAGCCGGTTGTTATGCAGCCTGTACACCCGGTAGCCCCACCTGCCTACACGTACGCCAGCGGACCGATCAACCCTGCCGTGGTGGTCAACACACAGTCAACCATCTGAAGCAGCAAATATACAGTCTGCTGATGCGGCCTGTCGCATCCAGAATCGTGCCTATCTAGTTCTATGCCTGAATGGGTTAGGGGTAGGATCAGACACATTTCGGAATAGTCTCCGCGTACCCAAGAACGTAGATTTGCCACATACACGGTTCTTGATACAACACAGCCTTTTGTATGCAGAACCGTGCTTTTAATACAGAACCGTGCTAAGCCAAGGTTCTGGATAGTCCGCACGTACGCAAAACCGGGGCAAATTTGCACTCTTGGATACGAGGAGACTATCCAGACTCGTACGCAACTGATCCTAACCCAAACACGTTTTACTAAAAGCTAATAGCTGAGATCTGGATATGGTACAACACATATGTGCCTCAAGTTGATTAGCATGGATTTGAAGTCGATGTTTTGTTTATTTGTTTATTTTGAATTTTACACATGATACAATGGACACGGAGACAAAACAGGTGCCATAGAGATCGCATTTACTTAAAGTTGTCTCCCAACTGTTGCACGGTGAACTGTGGTTCAAGCAAAGCTGCGCATATATATATATATACAAGTATTCTGCATTAATTAGTTCCCTTTGTGATGTTGTACATGTTGTTATTTTTTTACTCAGAACTAGCCAACATGTATGTTCAATGCTTACAAACTTGCATAGCTCTCTTTGAGCTTTAAGAGTGTAACGTTAGTGTTACTCAAGTTTGTTGATACTGATTGTATCCGAATCCGCTGTCTTTGTGAAAAGTTGTGTTACTTGTCTACCTATAATACTTTCAATTGTAGAAGTGACGAGGATGCAGTGTTACTAACCGTTTGAAGTTTGAAATAATCGGTGTCTGTTATGCTGTGCATTGCCTGTAATCAAGAAAGCCACATTTATATGAATAATATTGCCTATCAAAATTATGTTTACCGTTGCACTGCTCTTTCTTCTTCCTCTTCTTCTTCCTCTTCCTCTTCTGTCACCATGGTAACATGTGCTGATGTGCGTGTTTTTGGAATGATTAAAATCATCAGAGTGAATACGCTTTTAATACGCTTGTTATTTCTTGTGTTATTCATTGAGTCACGTAGCGTATACAAATACCCACAATGCACCTCCTGCGCTTTGATTGAAATAGCAGAACACAGCGTGTATTTAGAACATTTACAAGGCGAGGAGGGGCTTAAATAAATAAGTTTGATAGATAAGCCTCGATTGGCTAGTGAGAGTAGCCAATCAGAGAGTAGCTATCGTTATAAGAAGTGAGATTAGAAGATACATATTTGTCCTAGAAGTAAGTCGAGACCTCGGATTCCAGGTATGTGTCACGTGTAGTTATAGCTCTCTGTAGATTGTAGTAGATTGTACAGCTTGTAGTATCTCACTTAGTATCCATGCATCCTTTAACATTGTAGCTAGACACATTGCAACTCGTACATCTGTAACTCTAGCAAACCCTTGACTGTTCAGTTCTTGATTATACGTAGAATTGTTTAGTTTACTTTCGGCTAAATTATCATTTCCCAAAATAGCGTTTATAATGGTTCCGTAGTTTGCCAATTTTTATGGTTTTTTTTTTTTTAGGGTATAAAGGCCATGAGTACATTGTGCTCTTTCCTTCCTTCCTGTACAGCCATGTGTTGCGGTGAGGTAGGCTGTTGCGGCGGAGGCTGTGAGCACAAGGGGACAAGTATCCTCAACCTCGGATGGGCCTCGATTGTTCTAGCCGTCATTGGGTTCATCCTGTATATGGTAGCCGATGAGGTGTACGGAGGATACCCCTTCGCTATCATGCATCAAATCAATGCTCCTATTTGGGGAGGATCCTTCGTAAGTTTGACGGCCATTTTTTTGTCTATTTGCTGCTTTAAAGTAACTAGACCTAGGCATTATCTATACATGTACCTGCTAAGTTACTTTTCAGCTATTTAGTTTCATCCCATGTGATATTGATAACACCTGATTAAACCTGTACAGCTGGATTGATACAAGGATATATTTGTAAAAATCGGTCACTGTCACCAAATTCAAGTGATCATCAAAGGTATAATGATGTGATGCTTCCCATGTGCTGTTTTTCCAGATCGTACTTGTTGGAGCCTTGGCTATCTGTGCAGGGAATAAACCTGATAATGCCCGTCTGGTGAGTAACCCTTCACACTACAGCCAGAATGTCACCAGAATGAGATTGTTAGTACATTTCTGGCTATTGGAAGTGCATTATGAAAATTCATGGTCTATTCCAAATATTTGCACCGATTTCGGTTCTCCCTTATAGGTCATACAAATATGCACATGAGTCATCTATTGGAAAATATTTAATGTACAAGTATTGAAAATTTGAAGTCAAGAAACGTTTAACATGTTTTGTTTTCTTACCTGTCCCACCTAACAGAGGATTGCACTTCTGGTGATGAGCATCTTTGGTATCTTATTTGCCATGGCGAGTTGGATCATCGCATCCACGGGACTAGTCTTTGACTGCCATGGATGTGATTCGTTTGTGCTGGGACCATGTGATCCCGATGAATTTGATAACTGTAGTGGGTTATCAGATTACTGGTAAGTATGTGCACGGCACTTGTTTTAAATGCAACGTCCATTTATCCGCCGGATTCCATATATCAGCCACTTTGGAAGCTGTGTGCAGCAACCTAGGTGCATTGTACAGTTGAGATATACAGAAGTGTATCATCAGTGGAGACCTATTAGATTTAGATGTATCTTTTCAGGATTATATGATTATAGTACAGTTCCAAACATTCGCAGATACCAAAAAAAAATCTCTGATTTCTTGTTATTCGGTTCTACAGGTACGACATATTTCCCAACTGGCGCAGTATTGACTGTGGAGGGATCAGAGCCCTCTTTGCTCTGCAGCTGATCCTGGGCCTGACAGAGACAGTTCTGATGTTTATTGTGAGCATCAAGACCTGCTGTGGAACATGTAGGACCTGCTGCAAGGGAACACAACAGCCTCCGGTAGGCATTATGTCAATGATTGTGAATAACTTACTAGTAGTTCACCAGGTTGGCAAGTGACTGTATAAGAACGTTCTTTATTCAACAACTTTTTTTACCATCTGTCACCTTCAGGACAACAGTGTTTCGTACTGTAGCTGGGTATCGCTGCTGCAGTAATACAAAAATGCGGTAGTTATGTTTACCTTCGCGGAAGGAAAACGTATTGCTCAGTTTCTTCCTCTTTTTCCTCTTCTCCAAACAAATAAAGTTCAATGATCTGGTCCAGACGTCTGTCACCATGGTAACTAGTGATGTAGCAACACCCTGTGGTGTTGGGTTACATTTTGTAGCAAGACAGAGCTGGAGGGGCTGGTCACCATATACTAGTATTATATATAAATGTGTTTGAGTAATAAACATAGCAGTAGTTTGGTAAACTAGAACATATAAAGTTAAACATTATACATTTGCTTTGCAAATGTACATGTTACCTTTCTACTTCGTGTTTGGCATTTGTAACACTGCACCAGGGACACCTAGTAGAACCCGCTGTTTCCCCGAAGACGGTGACAGACGGTCAACTTCTGTATATTTCATATAACCCATAATCTGAACAGTGAAGAACACTTAGTACTAGTGATGTTCTACATCTGTCAGCTTTGTTCTTGTATACGTATTTTTCAGACTCAAGCCATGACCTACCAGCCTGGTCAACCTGCACTCCAACAGATCTAGGTGCAATCTGGGAACTATCCAGAACCTCACGCAGCTCATCCTAACCCTAACACTGCAGTACCGTTAAAAATCTTAGTGTAAAGTTACGGTTCAGGATATGATTCGGCCAAATGACAACACATAATATTTGTGCCTCGTGTCAATCAGATAAGCAGCATGTCGATCGCTTAAAATGAATTTTAAAGCCACGCACACTTATATTAATGACATTGCTTGTTATGTATGTTTACCTTCGCAGAAGGAAAGCATTTCGTTTTCTTCTTCTTCCTTTTTTCTACTTCCTCTTCTTCTTTCTCTTCCTGTTCTGTCACCATGGTAACTCGTGCTGTAGCAGGAACACTGTGGTGTTGGATTACATTATGTAGCAGGACAGAGCAGAAGAAATGGTCACCATGTACTAGTATATGAATGAGTTCGAGTAAGAGACTAGACCAAGCGGCTAGGTAAACACTATGCACTTTGCACATGTGATCTTTGTAGTTTATTGATCGTTATCGTCATCATGATTGACATTTACTGACAAATGTTTTATGGAATGATTAAAAGCATAAGATCGAGTGAATACGCTTTTACGTCTGGTGTTGTTGAGTAAGTCACACAGAAAACGAAGTAGCCTTACAAAGGCATGCCGATACATCTGGGATAGGATGTCACGTAGAGAAGGCTATACATAATACAATCGATAATGCATAGGTCCTGCCGTTTTGTTTGGGGTAGCAAAAGGCAGTATGGATCCGCAAGGTTAAGGAAATGAAATTTAGGAGGTTCAACGCGTCAGACTTTAAGATGCAGATAGAATAATTGAATGTGTATGCTTGCAGCTTGGATTCAGAGTACAATCTACCAACCATGAGAAAATCAAGTTCCCTTGTAGAGTTAGCCCTCTTTTGTATGGCGCTACGGGGTACGTATCATGTTACCGCCAACGCACAGTTGTGTGAGGCAGGTAACGGTATCTAGCCGCCAACCTACAAGCTACGGCCGAACAAACATCATATAATTCAACTTATACAGTGTCACACCTGGCACATTCCAGTCTACCATTCAGTACAGTTCTCATCCTGCTGCCGTGCACACAAGAACCTCTGCAGCTTTCTTAACTATTGTGCAGGACTACTTTGTGCCCGAACTACTTGTAAATACGTTATGCGACCTTGACTAGTCACAGTGTGTAACGTCCTTGGTGTAACAAAGGACCTGCTCTTAAAGACTTACCTTCGACTCCACAGGCTAGTTTGGACCGACCAGGTAAGATTCTGTTTTTAAACTTCCAGACGTGGTTGTCATATTAAACATCTTCAAGATTTCCGTGGATCTTCCTTCCCTTTTAAATCAAAATCAGAATCTGCAAGTAAAACGTTACGTCATCATCAGTGATGATAACTCAACCGTTCGCAAGGACTGCACAACGCTTAAACATTCTTGAAGTGTCTTGATCACATCTGTTCTGCAAGACCAGTGCTTTCGTGATGATCAAAATTGGGAGGTTAAAATTCATGAAGTCGTCAGCTGGCAAATCAGCATTGGTCGCTTCAACCTGAATAGTGAAACGTCATTTAAGAATTACTTTCACTTTCATTTTTGGCCCCTAGCCTGGCTGCCATCCGTTTTGTAATCCCGGGGCTCCTTGCACTTGCTACCCCTAACCGCAAGGCGAGTACAAAACGCATGGCACCCAGGCTACGTTTCGCAGCTTTTTGTGTTGTGTTTTTTTAACATGCAGCCACATGTACATTGTGTTCTTTCCGTCCTGATATATGATATTCTCCTTACACAGCCATGTGCTGCTGCAAGGGAGGTTGTTGTGACGGACGCTGTAAGTACAATGGACCTTTAATCCGCAAGCTGGGCTGGGCCTCGATTGTTCTAGCCGTCATCGGCGCAGTCGTGGCTGCAGTGGCAGACGGGGTGTACGCAGGATATCCCTTCGCTACTTTTCTTCACATCAGCGCTCCGATTTGGGGAGGAGCCTTCGTAAGTTTGATTTTTTTTTCTATGTAATGCTTACAGGTGTCTGGAGCTAGGGATCACTGTGTCTTCTTCTTATTCTGTTCGGCGACCACCTTCATCTAGTTAAAGATATACTGAGATATACTTTTCAACAGTAGCACTTGTATCTCGTTGCTATCTAACTCGATACTTTCCATTTGATGTTTTTCCAGATCATAATTACTGGAGGTTTGGCTGTCTGTGGAGGGAATAACCCTGGCAGCAGTAGTCTGGTGAGAGATCTTAAATAGATCTTGTTCAAGTGTTCAAATTCAATACTAGAATCTCTTCACAGTAGAGACGGAATGAGAAAGAATGTACCACGATCCTGGCTGTTCGAAGTGTATTTTGAAAAGTGTATACGTACTCCTAATATTCGGGCTTATTTCGGCTCCCCTTTGAATGTAATTGTTGGAATGCTGTATGAAGATTCAAAATTCGGTCATACTGCCCCTCAAAATTAAGTTTTGAGCATGCCCACTACATCCTGGCAGGCCGCAGGTATGGGCACAAATATTAGAAATGCAGTGAGAATTTCTGGATGGCACTTCGAATATTCCGGAATGTTCATGTCCTTGTAATGTCGACAAGGATACAAGTCGTCTGTAACTGTATAAAAATGCAAATAGTGAACTTGCAGTAATGTAAATAATAAAGTCAACAAACTTCTTACATGTTCTTTTTTTTTCACCTGACAGAGGACTGCACTTTTGGTGATGAGCATCTTTGGCACCTTATCTGCCATAGCGATTTGGATCATCGCAATGGCAGGACAAGCCGTTGATGGGATTTCATGTGGCCAGTTCGTGCAGGGACCACATACATGCCGCGGTCAAACACTCAAAACATGTGTGGGCGGTGTGTGGGAAGATAACTGGTAAGTCTGTGTACCTGTTTTAAAAGTAACGTCCTTTCACATCCAATATATCCGCCACACAGAAAAACAGTGTGTTTGAGAGATCTCCGGTGCAGTACCCCAAGACCCCAAGTTCATGACCCCATCACTCAAATGAAACCTAACCTCAAATGACACAATTACCCGGGTATCAATGGCACACAATCAGTTTACGTTATCAAAACAACTTCTAGAAAAGTGGAACTCGCTGTCACCAAGTACAGTAGGGACATTTTCGTTCCATAGCAAAAGTACCGAAGTAACGGGTTCCTTTCTCAGCACTCGGTATACAGAGGTGAGGCGGCTTCCGTCCTAGATCTCCAGTGCCGAAGTTACGTCAACACTTGGTGCCCAGTGTCGGCGGCTTTAGCACTGGAAACTCTAAATCGGCAAATCAAACCTTGTCTTTAAAAAGGGTACCGAGATGCCGCCTTTGAACTCTAACACTTATATTTTTGAGATCGTACCGGCCGGGAAGCAAATTATAATCGGGACGACAGGGTGATCGGCAGGACAATATTGCAAGGCTCAGATCCTCACATTTTTACAAACATAGACTTGGTCTACGATACTGTACTGTACGCCGCGCGGCCGACGTAAGCACCAGAAGCCCAGTGCCGAAATGATTTGAGAACTCGGCTCCCAGCGCCAAGAGTCACCGAGCACTGGAACGATCCAGTGAAGAACCCGTTACTTAGGGACTTCGGCACTTGCTATCCAGTGGTGAACGGCCTCCGAGCACTGGTAGCGAGTGCCGAGTGGAATTCAACACCGGCTATCCAGTGGTGAACGGCCTCCGAGCGCTGGCTATCCAGTGCTGAACGGCCTCCGAGCTCTGGCGAACGAGTGCTGAGTGGAAGTTAATAGCACCGGAAAACGAGTGCCGAGTCAAGATTCAGCTCTGGAATTCCAGTCCTGACGGTGTTTCAGCACTGGAACAAAGCTGTTTCTGCACTAGAATTCCAGTGCGGAGATTTCTTCCGCACAGGGCCCCGAGTGCCGACGCCACTTTCCCCATGAGTTCCGCACTGGGCGGCCAGTGAGGAACCCGTTACTTCGGTACCCTTGCCGTTCCATAGCTCTAAACAAAGTTTAGAGTTAGATGTTGAAGGGTTAGATGTAACAAGTCGTTTGGTGCCGCCGCGCCGCGTGCCTGTGAAGCTAGTGTGTTACGCCGAGGGTGGTTATACCGGCTATACAAATACAGTATGCGTAGTTATAGTAATTCATCAACAAATTTTGTTTCGCTCTAAGCTTATCATACAGGAAAGTTCCAAAATATTTGCAGATACCTGATACAATCTGGGATATCTGAAATATCTGAAATTTCTTGTTATCCCTTTTTACAGGTACGAGCTCTTTCCCGACTGGCGCAGTGTGAACTGTGCAGCGGTCAGGGCCCTCCATTGGCTGCAGCTGATCCTCGGCCTGGTGGAGACACTTCTGATGCTCATCATAAACGCCAGAAGCTGCTGCGGAACCTGGACGAACTGCACCTGCTGTCAGGGTACACAGCAACAGCCCCCGGTAGGCATGCAGTATGTCATGATTAGGTCTGCACTGCGAACGTATGTAATTTCATCAGGTTGACTGTATAAGAATGTTCTTTTTTCGACAACCTGTGAGTTTTTACATCCAACCTTTCGGCGATATTTTAGCCATCTTCTTCAGGGCAACAAAAATTTGTAATGCAGCTGTGTGAAAACATTCTACATACGGGACAGCATTTAAAAACTAGTACTGCAGCAGAGATATTAGCAAAACCAGTAATCTCGGTATATTTTACCCATATAATTTGAGCAGAGAAGAATACTGGTGATGTTCTAGATATGTCAACCTTGTTCTTGTACTTTTCAGACTCAAGCCATGACCTACCAGCCTGGTCAACCCGCACTCCAACAGATCTAGGTGCACTCAAGGGACTATCCAGAACCGCACGCAGCGGATCCTAACCCTAGCACACTCAGTCAGGCCAGATTAAGACCTAAAAGCTGGGCTATATGCACGATTCCCATATAATACAGCCGACTGGCACCATGTATGTGCTTCAAGTTGATTGGATTCGCAAATGAATTTGAAGTCGACGTTTCGATCATCGAGTTCTTGTTTGTTAATTTGAGTTTTTCATATGGTACAATGAGGGGAAGGCAAAACAGACGCCTTTGTATATACAAGTTTTTAGCCCGCGCTTAAACGTTTTATGACTAGTCAACATGTATATGTTTACTGTTTATAAACTTCCATAGCTCCCTGTGGACTGTAAGAGTGTAACGTTACCCAAATTCGTTGATATTGATTACGTGTATATATATATTTCTGTGGTAAAAAGTTGTATGACTTGTCTACCTATGAAGTGACGATGATGCAGTGTCATTATAAGTTTGAAGTTTAAAATGATCGGTGTCTATAGTAAAAAAAGTCACACTTATATAAATGACATTGAAGGTAAACTATTGTTTTTGCTCTGTTTTACCTCTTCTTCTACTTCTGTTACGTGGTAACATGCTCTATAGCAGACACGCTGTGGTGTTGGATTACATAATGTAGGAGCTGCTCACCATAGTACATGCATATAGCGTTTGAGAAGGAATAGACAGAGTAGTACTAGTAGTTTGATAGGCTAGCGCTAGACCATGTGGTTAGGTAAACATTGTGCATTTCATTTGTCAATGTTACCTTTCTAGCTGACATTTACTGATATACGTGTTTTTGGAATGATTAAAAGCATAAGAGTGAATACGCTTTGTATTTCTGGTGTTATTGGCTGAGTCACTTCAAAACGACGTAACACGCCATACATCTGCTTGAAGATGCCACCTAGCGAGGTTGATGTGAACTGCACCGTCAACAGATCCGAATACCCACAATGCACTTCCAGCTACTTCAGTAGCAAGGACGTGACGGACTAGTAGTGACGGACAGACTTGGCCTTGAAGAATTGTCTTCTTTTGCCGTCGGCCCAGTGTTTTGACTAACCAGGTAAGGTTCTACAGCCACCTCCAGACACTGTGGTGTCATAACAGCTTTACTTTTTCGACTGATCTTCGTTATAAGGCCTTATAGATAAAGTTTCTGCAAGGTAAACGATCATCTTTACATGGTACACAGACTAAGACAACGCCCATTATTAAGTATCCTCAACACTGCTAAGACAGAACCAGAGCTGGTCTCTATATTGATATATAAAGACCTGTTTTTGTCTCAATCAGGTTTGTAAGATTCCTCTTTGCATCTCAAAAATGATTAGTATCGCAATAAATAAATGAATATGCTAAATCTGCTACATTGAAGTTGAACATCCGGAGGTCCCTACCTCCATGTTGAAATTTAGCAGAAATACCCGATGATGCGTGCAGTGCACACAGTGGGTATAATTTGGGCAGGGTGGTGACTCTTGTTTTACTTTAACACCTAACGTTTTATACTCTAAAGTCATCTGGTCACAAATTTTTTAAAGAATATTAGGACGGTCACAGTGACACTTCCACATGAACAAAGAACTTTATAATTACAGTTAACTTTCACTTTCAGCAAAATAAATGCTTTGACTGATTGATTGCTTGCGTGGCCATATATGCGTGTACATTTTGTTCCAGTACTCTCCAAGTCCAAGCTTTTAGAGGTTTAGGCTTTGACTAATGCTTTGACATGTTTTGAAGGGCTTTTAATAATAATAGTTTTATAAGGCTTTCTTAAAATTACTGGTATCTTTTCCTCCCTTGAATACAGGCGCCCTGCAGCCCCAGACAATTATACTGTCTTTATACCAATATGATAAAGATACTGTCTTGTAGTCACCAAAGCATCTGCTTGGAGATTATTTTAATTTCATATTATTATTGTGTTCTTTCTATCCTGTACAGCCATGTGCTGCTGTGAGGGCGAGGCAGGTTGTTGTGGAAAAAGCTGTAAGTACAAAGGACCCTGTATCCGCAACCTGGGCTGGGCCCTGATAGTCCTGGCAGTCATTGGTGCAATCCTGGCTGTGGTGGCAGACGGGGTGTACGCAGGATACCCCTTCGCTATCGTGCATCACATCAGCGCTCCGATTTGGGGAGGAGCCTTCGTAAGTTTGACTGCCTTTGTTTTTCCTGTCATATATAACTGTTGCACAGAGACACTAATAGGAACTTAGATAAGGAGAAGTAAAACTTTATGTGTAAAGTGTTAGTACATGGTTTTGTACCATCTTCAGTCATACATTCTGCACTCATTGTCTGTTTGCAACTAGCCCTAGGGCATGAACTTGAAATAAAGAATTTTAATTAAGAATTTTTATTAACTAACCTGTTGCTTATCCACCGTGATGTTTTTTCCAGATCATAGTTGCTGCAGGCTTGGCAGTCTGTGGAGGGAACAACCCTGACAATGCCTGTCTAGTGAGATCTCTTACATGTTCAACTTCACTCGCTTCCAAATATTTGGGCCTTTCCCTTGAATGAAATACAATGTATTTTGAATACTGTAGGAATATTCATACTGTCATACATGAAATTCCAGTCATAACTGCAGTTAGATTAAACTTTGAGGTGCAATTCAATATTTGTTCACTTCGAATTTACCTCAAAAAGTTTTGAGCATGACCAAAAATGTGTACTATATCATGAATGCAGTGAGAATTTCCAGAAAGCACTTCAAATATCCAGGTACATAAATGCCTGTAAATGTTGACAAACATTCAAGTAAGAAGGGAGCCTATTTTTCTGTTCTTTAGAAATGATGCTGTAAACAAAGTAGCAATGTACAATGTAAGTCAAGAAACTTCTAACAAGTTTTTTCCCCACCTGACAGAGGATATCCCTTCTGGTGATGAGCATCTTTGGCATCATGTTTGCTGTAGTGATTTGGATCATTGCAGCCGTAGGTATAGGCTCTGATGGTAAGCAGTGTGACTGGTTTATGCTGGGACCATGTGATCCCGGTGATCATTACTGGACCTCTAACTGTGGTTGGTGGTCAGATTACTGGTAACTATGTGTTCATTCAAATTTACCTGCCAGATTCCATATATATCAGCCACTGTAAAAGCTGTATTTGTGTTTGAGTGCAGTATATACATGTAATATATAGTAGAGTGGATTCATTCCCCAAGCTAACAATATCTCACACACACATTCGACCCTCAGTAAGACATCTGGAGCCGCATAGTTGCTGTTTAGAACTTTTAATCAGCTTGTCACACTGCGTGTTTGATAGCACTTACTTCATACAATCATGATCCAGATATTGTTTAGCCAGGTTACCAGACCTATGTTAGCTCCTGAGTCTTTATCCTCTTCGCAAAGACTCGGGTGCTAAAATATGTCTGGTAACCAGGCTAGATTCCTCGTATTGTGTGATGCAATTTAATCGAGTACTTCCCTGTTGTCATATAGTATAGTTCCAAAATTTTCATGGACACACCAGAAGTCTAGAATCTAAGAGTTCTTGTTATTCTGTTTTGCAGGTACCGCCTCTATCCCAACTGGCGCAGTATTGACTGCAGTGGAATAAAAGCCCTCCATGCCCTGCAGCTGATCCTGGGCCTGACAGAGACAGTTCTGATGTTTATTGTGAGCATCAGGACCTGTTGTGGAACATGTAGGAACTGCTGCAAGGGAACACAACAGCCTCCGGTAGGCAGACTTCATGAAGTGTATATTAAAGAACTTCTTTATTCAACAACCAGTGGGTTTTTACATCTTCCATTTTGGTGACCATTATATGTGTGTCTGTGTCTGTCTGTGTGTGTGCCTGTGTGGTTTGCCTGTATGTGTGTTTCTTTGTGTCTGTGCATCTGCGCGTGTGTGTGCCTGTGTGTGTGTTTGTCTGTGTGTAGTATTCCTGTATGTGTTTTTCTGCGTGTGCGTGTGGGTGGGTGTGCCTGTGTGTGTGTTTCTGTGTGTGCGTGTGCGTGTGCCTGTGTATACAGGGTTTGACCAAGTTACCATGGTTAGGTTGATGACATTTGGAGCATTGCTTGTTTGACGACTATTTACAGAGCCCTTCTGCATTACCCATAATTTGAAAAGCACAGAACAACACTTAACATATTCTGTCAACCTTGTTCTTGTACTTTTCAGACCCATGCCATCATCTACCAGCCTGGGCAGCCCTTACCCCAACAGGTACACTCTGGAGTTATCATCATGCAAACAGGTGAGAACACCAGACTCACTAGACATGACAGATTTTTTTTCTGCAGTGATATAACTATGACAGCTTTTCTTCAGCTGTCTGTGGTTTGTATTATTAAAGAGAGGCCATGCAACTTTCAATGTCATGGCCACCAGTACAAAAACAATGTGTGCTGCAGTGTATTTTATGATGACTTCAGTGTGATCTAGTAATTTGTATCATAATGGAACTGTGTTTGACACGGGTATAAGATGTTTCTATTTTTTTCTCTTATAGTACCTGGGGCACCTGCAGGACAGCAGCCAGCCTACAACCCCCAAGCACAGGCTGGGGCATACCCAGCTCAACTCCAGCCTGGGTCGTACCCAGCTCAGCCTGGGTCGTACCCTGCACAGGCTGGGACATACCCCGCACAGGCTGGGGCATATCCCACACAGGCTGGGACATACCCTGCACAGGCTGGGACATACCCTGCACAGGCTGGGACATACCCCACACAAGCTGGGGCATATCCCACACAGGCTGGGGCATACCCCACACCCACTGTATCAGAGCCACCACCTTATAATATGGTTTCTGATCAAAAGATGTAAATGATAGCCAAAGAGGTCTTGCTGGTTTTCAAATTCATGCCGGGTTTCTCTTTAAACTGAATGATGTTTTGTTTGTTTGTTTTAAAGCATGCAAGGTTTTCTGTGTAAGCCAGCCTGCATTTGTGTTTTGCTACCAGGTTTTTAAGGGTTATAAACATTATGTTCTATTACTGATATACAATGGCCCCTCACGTGACCATATCACGTCTCCAGACACAAATGACATGAATTCTAACATAAGCATGGCTTGAGCCAAAACTTCTTGACAATTTTGAAGCCATATTAAATAAATATATCAATAGGAAACTAGTAACAGAAAAAAATATATTACGCAGATGAAAAAATATTACAGTTTTGTACAGCATAGGAGTGTGAGAATAGCCTTATTAAAAGATGCTTATATGTTTTATAATGTATGTATCAGATCACTACAGATGGTTGTGATGAGTGAAGTTGATTTTCTTCCATTGAAAGATCTGGACCAACTGTGAACAGTATTATTCAGCAGATTTATTTTACTAATTATGCCTGATGTACATGTAATTCAGAAATGAAAATGTGCGGGTTTTTTTTGCACTTGAGGTAATCCATTTAGTTTAAAAGCTGTGTATGGATCATGGAATCAAGTGCCACAGTCAAAACCAGACCTATCCATGGTTCCTGATAGTAACAAATTGGATACATAGAATGAATATTTTAAAGCTTATTGCAAGGAAACCTACAACCATTCCAATATACATGAATATATTGATGGAACAATCAATGTGAGATAAGAAAATATGAAGAAACACTAACAAATGCTGATGTAAAAATTATGTAACTTTTATGTATAATAAGCTGAGAGCAATTGATTCGATAAAGGTTTTCTGCTGTCACGTTGCATCTTAAGATGGTGACTTGTCTGAGCTTACACATATACCAGTATGTGTTATCATGTGTCTTAACAGTTAGAAATTATAGACATCTAATGGAAACAGCCCAGGGCAAGACTCATGTTGGCATTCATGTTTCAAAGAGTTAAAAGGAAAGAAAACATTCAGGGCATAAAAATGACAAAGCCCGGTACTATAATATAACACACCTCTGTTTATTAAGTATTTTGGCATGTTCAAATGGTGCAACTACATAAGTAGGTGTGGCTTGACTTTCTTGTGATCTGCATGACCAAAAATGATAGTACTACATTGTAATTGGTCCTCTGAAAGTGAACAATTGTGGTGAAAACAAGATATAATGCTAAAAATGTTAACTGTATAATAATAATATATAATAATAATATAAAACATATGATAAATTTTGTCTATGTCTGACTTTAAAGCAACAGTTTGAGAAGACTTGCTTTAGAAGTAAACAAACATTTGTTAGTGTGATTGCTCCTTTTACCATACATGATCATACAATTCATCCTGCTGACACTATATAACGTGGTTGGAAATGTGTGGATTATGACTACTTTCCAACTTTTAGTATCAAATTCCAACACTTCATAGGTAAGAAATCTCACTACCAGAGTATAGCAAATAAGATAACATTTATGAATAATGAACACGTGAAACAAGATTCTGAAACTTTTATGAGATACAACTTACAACCATGCAAATCATGGTTTGTCCACTCAATGTCCAATATGTCAGCATATGTCATAATACTGGCATTAACTTTACGCACATAAATTATACCAGATACAAATTTGACACGCCATGGCATTCTTGATATAAGGAAGATAAATTTTAAGATACATGACTAGAAACACATGAGGTGGTCCCAAATGCAAAATCCTTATTTCTACAGCACCCTTCAACAACAGGTAAAACACAAACTACCAAGACTGACATGCAAACGCTACAAACATTTTCAGACAAAACCTAACCCAACACTGGTGTGTTCCTAATGAGAAAGTTCACACGTTATACAATGTATAAAGTATCTCTGGAGAAGACAAGTGATTCTGGCAACATATCTTAGTCAAAACCTGAAACACTATTCCACACACAAGTCTAACAAACCTCACATAAATATTAGGCTGGTACAACCACTGATACTGACATTATACTGGACTCGGGAGACTGGAAGAACATGCACGCTACACACATGTACATGGTCCCTGAGAATTCAACATGCACCTATGTAGTCACACTTTATTCATTTTGATATTTGGATCACAGTCAGTTTGGAGACCGTTAGGTCTACCAGACTGTCTACCAGACTGACACAATTCATTCAGATTACTCTCTTTTTGTTACTTGACAGCTTAGCTAAAATAAACCTTAGACATCAACATTAGAGCTCGAGAAGACAAAATATTGCTCTAGTTCAACTGCTATTTTGATATGTTTCTTGTAAACTTTGTATGACTGCACTGAGATACTAAAGATTGAGACATGCACTTTGGATGAGAAATTCACTACCATCAAAATATATCAAAATCATTTTCCACAGCGAGTGACATGATTATTTTGAATTCAGAGTTTGGGAAGGGTGATTCTCCTCCCATGTTACCTGGTCTGCTGATTACTCAGCAGAAACATCACTTTGCACATGCAAACATTCTACCAGAGCTTTTTATCCAAAACAAATTACTAGTAGGTACAGGCCCGAATCTTTGCCTGTATTTGGCCAATGTAAATTATACGAGCAGCCAACATCAGTTTTATTGGTATGTTGTTGTCAACTTGTCATTGTCTGAGGGTTTACATATCTTAATCTAAAAATGAGAATTTTCAAGTTTTCCTGATGTTCAAGTCCAAAATTGTCATTTTTCAGAGATGCAGTTCACCTATCCAGAATATAAAAAATGGTTTCCACTATTTTGTACAGGTACACCAGGTTAGTACCCGTACCTGAATAAATTTTATAGGTATTAGGTACAAAGCCCTAATTTTACCTGCTGATTACAGGAATGACTACCCTTGCCAATCAGAGTGGATGTAGTTCCAGCAGGCCTTTAGACTCAGAAAGGGACCAGGAACCCAACCCTGTGGTAGAATTTTGACAGCAAGTTTCCTTCACGTCATCAAGTATATCATCCCAAGGCCCGTTATCGCTGATCTTCTCGGATGTACGTATTGGCTTGCCCATATCCTGGTTATCTACAGGACTAGGACACCCATCCCTGATTGCATTAAGGATGTCTTTTGCCTTATCCACACCTGATAGGAGCCCACCATGCACAAACCCCATGTACCTCTCATGAAATGCTTCCCCACCAAAATACAGCCTTCCTACTGGGGCCTTGTATTTATCGGTGCCGTCTCGAAAGGCACCGGTAGGAATGCGCGTGAAGGCACCGAGATACAAGGGGTCCTGGGACCACCTGCTGACGAATATGTCCACCGGAGTGGGGACGTCTTCTCCGTACAGGTTCCTCAGGATCTCCATGATTTCCGATGCCACAGTGCTGTTGGGTAGTCCCTCCACTCTCTTGGACTCCTCTCCCGTAACAGTCACGGCGAGGATGTTGGTCCCAGGTGGGTGGCAGCCCTCGGCTTCCATATCCTGCATGACGGGGTAGTACCCCCTCTTGGGGTGCGCATGGAAGATATACTCCTTCCCGTCCCAGAACTTGAAGGGAAACTTGAGGAAGATCTTAGTGTAGTGGCACATCTCCACCTGGTAGATCTCCTCCAGCTTCCAGTCGGGAAGTTCTGGGGTGAAGGAGATGTGGTCACTCTGCAGCACCCCCAGACTGAACGTGGTCAGGGCATACTCCGCTGAGTACTCTGACCCATCGCTAGTCCTCACCACCACGCCCTGATTGCTCCACTTAATCTCATCCACGCGTTTGTTAAACTGTAGTCGGGGGTCCTGCTTGCAGAGGAAAGTTCTCGCCATCTCTTCGACGATAAAGCCAAAGCCACGCTGGTCGGTGACGAAGTATTCCTTGTCGTCGAAATCCACGAGGGTTTCTTCCTCTTCGTTCTGGAGGAGGGAGGTGACGTCTGGTGTGGCGCCGTTCTGGAAGTCGAAGGAGAAGTACTCGACTACCTTGTCGACGGGTGCGATGGCCTTCCAGCCAGCCAGACGCAGCGCCACGCGGATGGAGGTGTCGTTGCCGTCCTCGTTGATCTTCCTCTCCAGGATGTCGTGGGCGTGCTTCCGCGCTCGCTGCAGGTCGGCGAACCTACTGACGGCGTGCTCTGTCACGTCTGCACCGTTGTTGTCCCGGACCACCATCTTGGCGACATCCTGCACTTTCCCCTTCAGGTCCAGTCCCCGAGCCAGCTCCCAGACGGGATTTCCACGTATCCCGTGGACCCAGTTAGCGCCCGCTTCAATCTTCACTCCCCCGAAGTCGACAAGACGCATACGCCCACCAATCCTGTCTGATCCCTCCAGGATGATGAAGTCTTGCACCCCATTGTCCTGTAGCGTTTTCGCTGCTGCGATGCCTGATATTCCAGCTCCGATGATGATAACTTTAGCACTGGTCCCTCTGAACTGCTGAGCCATTCCCTGTCCACCAAGCCTCCAGACAGCTCCTGTAGTCAAACAGATTTAAGTCATCAGACACAAGCAGAATCTTGTGAGTCAAATGGGTTTGCTGACAAAGTCGAGAAATGTCAAAATGTTCGGCGCCCAGACTGTTTCCTTTCAGACTGCCAAATTGCAAGTGCTTTACATTCTTTCTGTCAAGTGGGTGTGTGAGGGAATTTCAGAAATTTTTCTAAAAGCCCTGTAATGTCAACTCTTCATTTTGAGCCCTGTAATTCTGACAACTTTTGTCCAGAGGAATATTTCACTATTGACAAGGACCAACAGGCATGAGTGCAAATTGCCTTTGTTTGTTTTACCAAATTCCTCAGCATGTTTTACCGCCAGTCCAAACCGGACTACCCACCCCTAACATATGATTATGGCATTCAGACCCTGATCTATTACTATACTATAGTATTAGAATATACATGCTAGAGGATGATAGCTGAATAACTTTAATCATCAGTATATGTATTACAATCTTACAAATCATTTGACCCACTAAAATATATGAGAATGATATGGTTTCATTTTTTTAATAAACTGACCTACTTATAACGTTATAACGTTAATATTATATGCACGTGTCACCCCCCTCCCCAGACGAAGCAAAATCCACAACTGTCGTATATCATTCTCATTTATACTATTAAACGTTAGTACTCCAGGCTATTTTCACCGTCTACAGGAAGAAACTAAATTGGATTTCTGACTGACAAAATAATTTGTCACCATATTTATGAGTGTAAACCATTTCAATCCGTACTATTAGATCTTGTCATGATTGGCGATCCGTGCATGAATATTTTTGTGGCGAAAGTCTCTTCTTCTAGATTATGAAACACAAAGGGGTGAGTATACAACGTTATATTGTCCAGTCACAATAAAATAAAATAATGTTAAACAGTGCAAACACTAACCTCTTCTCACAAGAGCTTTGTGCCTTGCCTTTTGTAGTAATGATTTAATGTGGAAATTTCTGGCGCCCGTCCCGTCCGGGGGTTGCGAAATCTTTTCAACTGGGCCACATACATCCGGTAAGGCGACAGAATACAGAAAGAGTAATTGTTTGAAAATAAAAATATGGTTTGAAAGAATCATATTCTTTATCAAAAATATCATAATCTTAACGATATCATAAAGTATTTTGCCACCATTATGCAATTTTCAAGTGTCATTTATTTGTTAATCGTTTGCGCGGTTTGTGTTTTGTCGCCCTATTGTAGCTGAGGATTGCGTCATCAGTACCAAGGTCAGAGGTGAATTTGGCGAAAAACCTCAAGAACTTTGAAATGATGTGAACTTTGAAAAGGGTTTAACTTGCTAAGGGAGGGGATATGTGAATTGAGGAATGGGGATACTAAACAGCCACCCTGGACGCTGGATGCCCCCATTTTCTAATCTTTCTATGCATCCTTGCAGGCTCATCCTTGCCCTCAGGCCAATTTGACACAAAGTGGCTCCGTCGACTTCTGAGAAATCGAAGCCTTCAGTTTGGTATTATCGCCCTATTTGCTCACATCATAATGCATTTTCCCCAGTTTTGCCATCAAATTCACATTAACTTCACATTAACAACAAACTTTTTATGGTAGCCAGATTTGAATAAACTTTTCAGTTTCAGCAGCTTGTCTGTTTTTGTTTCAGTTTTTAACTTGACTTGTTACTATTCCCTTTAGTCGAAAATACACGCGGTTTGCAACAGATGACGATGCATCGACGGCAAGTTTCAACACTTCACTACTCTTCAGCATTCTGCGCTGCAGCGCCTTCTGGCGGGGTATCTGATGATAACAGCAGCTTTTTCGTGAAAAAGTTACCTCTGTGAAAACGCAGCTATTCTTTTCGGTGTATTTGTTTGTCTGTCTGTCTCTTTGTGTTTCCGGATACTTTGAACAGCAATATCTTAAGAAGCTTTGGGTGGAGTAACATTTGGTAGGTGGGTACTGGGTCAAGGTACTGGTCTTTGTAGGGCAGAGGTCAAGGTCGATTATGGGACTCCTTGCAACTTTTTACGGAGGTACATGGAGATATTTAGTGTCTTGTTAGTTTGTGCAAGGACATTTGTATATGTATAGAGAATATGTAATATAATGTCCTTGGTTTGTGTTTTCTTCGTCTATAGATAACCGGCCAAAGTAAGCGTTACTGTTTCCTTCATGATAAGGTGGCCAGCCATTTTTATTTTTTCCAGGTCACCTCCTTGAAGCGGTCTAGCACTTCTATCCTACTATCTACCAGACTCCAGTGGGTGGCTGGGAAATAGTAAGAATTCGAAATTGGACAAATACTGGTAATATGCCAGAGGACAGTTACCCAGCCATTGGAGTACACTTTCCAACCCACGTAGTGTGCTTCCATGTCCGGCTCAACTCCCCTGGCATATTATACAGTCCATTTGCCCAATTTCTGCTATTTCCCAGAAACCCACTGAAGTCCGGTAGAGACTGCTTTTATCCACTCTTCGTGCGTGATCAGAATGTCACATTCTAAATTACATACACATCTATGCGTGAATATATCCCCACTTGGTAACGTTAATACCATGCCGCCCTCCCCACTTTCCATGTCCTTGGGCACAGTACCTAGATAATTCATTCACAACAGCGTATGGGTGGTGGAAATTTAATCAGCCCCTATGAAAGGACATTACGCGTTACATAACCCAGTGAATAATCTCATCAGGTTAGTGAATGAATAAGTTCATTATTCATAGCTACTTATTTAAGAAGATAGAGCCATTGTTTGGCATCTTCATCAGGGAAAATATGACTGGTTTACTGTGCACTGAAGCTAGATGTTACTACAGCTGGTTACTAAAAGTAAATTCTATCTATGGATGCCACGAAAAGGCTCGGCCCATATGCATGAACAAAACGCCCCTCCCCCCAGTTACGAGTTAATAGAAAACGACATGTGGATAGTTAGTGCCCGCTGATTGAATCTACAGGTGGATGTGATTCAGCATATGTCCCAGCACATCATGTAATCATAGGAGACAAATAGGCTTTATTGAAGTCATGCTGTGGCGGACCAAGCCAGTCCGGGTAACCATATTAAGGTTCTTTATTGAACATCGACAACCAGTGAGTTTTCACCGTGATCTGGTGTTTCTGTGCCCCATCAGTGCTGTCACTTTCAGGGCAACAGTCACTGGTTCTGAGTCATTGCTGTCCTGAAGAAGGGGACAGAAGGTCACTGAAACTTCAGATGTAAAGGCCCACTGGTTACTGAATATACAACCTTCTTATACAGTATCTTGGCCGCTTCTTACATCATGACCAGTGTCCATTCCCCCATTTCAAGCAGATAAAAGGTTGTGCCAAATAAAATTTGGAGCGTTCGTTGAATCAATTTCAACATATGATTGGTCTTGGGAATTTCCAATGCCCTGGAAATCATATGCAGCAGAGAAGCGGTGATAAAGGCCCGGCGGCAGTTCCCATTTGACAGAACAGTCACTGCTTGCCCGAGGGATGGACTGATGCGGCTTATAGTAGTATTGAAGCGATCGATGTACTTTCGCCAAGTCCAGTAGACGCGACTCATGAATAGTGACATTTATTAATTTACCTACATGACCAGGCACTTCTGCGATACATTATCCATCATTCTCCGTATGGAAGCAGCTATGATAGAGGCGAACTAACTAGATTATGGGTATTCAAATTACTGAGGAGGAAGCTGTGATTCCATTTTAATCTACTCAATTGATTACATGGAGTCAAAAGTTCTACTGAAAGTAACGATGTTTGAATCCGACGGATGCATCAATGTCGACGTCTCATTGAATCAGTTCCCATCCCCGAGTGAACTGTGATGGAAAATATCGTCTGCCACAGTGATGGGCGCAGACTTCACACTCTTCACAAGCCGTTGCAATTATGTTCTCAGTGCTTCCGTGTCTGTATACTAGATTGTCTCTGGAGGACGCCCGGGTCCTCTGACGACGCTGCTTTTCCCCCTCGCCACTCACAGAGGTCTATGAGCCATCCAGTCTAATTGTTTAGCAATTTGGGGTAGCCGCCCCCATCTCATTATGTCATATCGCCCGGAGGGTTCTAATCAGCTAGATTGCCGAGGAGTTGCCGGTAATTATAGGCTCGGGTGCGCAGGATGAGATTAGTATTCCCAGGAGCTTTCAAGGAGGTGTTTTGCTGCATATTTCTTTCCGAGTGCTCTTAAGTTAGCCTATTTAATAACACCGTGATGCTATCTAAAGGCGAGGTCAGATTCAGCAAGTCGTCGCAAAATTTTGATGCCGCAAAATTTTCAAGATTTCGTGATAGAATTAACCGCCGACGAGGATCTAAGATAGCATTTGCAT